AGATGATCATGTGTGCTTTCTGGCAATGCTACAGCCAGTCCAGAGACAATGGAGGACAGAAAGAATCTGAGCCCTTGGTCAGGATGATGGAGTTAAAGCCATCAGTTTGGCTAGTAAATATATGTCAAATTTTTATTGATGTGACAAGAGAAGGCTAATGCTGTTTGTTTGGTCTTGTTTTTTCAGCATTTAATAGATGTGGAGTATCTGTCTGATGTACAGTTGTTTCTATATTATGATATCAGTTAATGGGAGGCAGGGATTGTCTTGGGTTCCTTTCCCTAAATTAATTAAATCAGGGCTTCACAGACTGTCTTATGGAAAACATAGAGATAGAAAGAGCCTTAAAGGTTCAGTTGAGATCCAGATCTAAAATAAATTGGTGTCAAAAGCTAGGAACTTAACAGGATAAACTCAACCCTTCACTGTTTCAAAGTAGTTTAAATTTACATAGACCTGTATGTATTTCCTAATAATATCCCCAGGAAAAAGCCCTACCAACTCTGCAAGAAAACTAGTTTCCGTGACCCTTGCCCCTTGAGTTTATTTGGCAGCCTGAACTTCCTAACCTGTTCAGATGTACAGTGGCTGAAACAGCTCTACCAAAGACACTCTATTTAGTTAAGCCAGGAAAAAACAGTTTATGCAGAAGCTTTAAGTGAGATATTGTCATATGCACTCTATGCACATCTATGGCATTTTGTAAGTTAGGTAATTATTTATTATAAAGATTAGTAGAGGCAACAAATATATTCATTTATGAAACATCACTGGTTTCTAATTTAATAACAAGATGCAAATTGCCACTGGTTTGTTTGTTATTGATATAAAACTAAATGTGACTTGCTAAATTAAAGTTTGCTGGTTTTAAGTGTTATATTTGTGAGGTTTAATTTTGAAAACTAGTACGTAATTGTCCTTCTATTTTCCATAAATGTATGAAGGTGCTAAAGTCAATAAAAATATCTTTTATTCTATGTAATTCTATTTAACACATATACAGATTGGTATAAGTCTTTATCAGTATCTCATTGGAATAAATACCAGGATGGTAAAATAGTGATCTTGGCTTATTAAGAGGACCTTAACAGGTCAAAAGTTTATGCTCTTCCTTCAAGAAGAACCTCTGAAAATATTCCTGACAAAAATATATAGTGGATCATGAACAAATTGACACAATGCTACATATTTGGAATTTGTCTTTTAATAAATGCTGATTAGTAAAAAAAAAAAAAAAAAAAAAAAAAAAAAAAAAAAAAAAAAAAAAAAAAAAAAAAAAAAAAGACAACAACAAAATTTTTAAAGCTTTAATTAATGAGAAAATCCATTCTTCATAATTTTGAAAATTGCCAGATTCCAAATGTCTTAATCTGACCCCATACTCTCATAATAGAAAGAATTATAAAGGTATAAAATATCCCATTTCAGCATGAGATGCCCCCATTTGTACACTTCTATCTGAAAAGACTTTATCACTGTTTTTCTTTTAGTCCTATTCTGGACTAAATGTATCCACATGTTGAACAACACTGAAAAAAGTTACAAATTTACACTCCAAATTTAGACTCCAAGGCAAAGACGAGACTCTTCTACCCCCATGAATTACAGTGGGAAAGCCTGCTAACCTCACTGGCCAGGATCTTCTGCTAGCCAGTCTCTCCATCTGCTCACTTAACTGCCCACAAACAAAGGTATCCTTGATTCTACCAAATAGTTTTGGGGTAAACATCCTGTTTTAGGTCCTTCAACAGTGATTTATTGTAAAATAAATCAGGTGTTGAAAATAAGTGTAAACAAATAAATTTAGGTGTTAGCTTAGTTAGCATCTTCCCTGGTGGAGGAGATAATGATGGAAAACCACCTCCACCACCACTAGATTCCTGCATTTATGGACTTTTGAAAAACTGTGCCTCGGTCCTTTTCAACAAGTATTTACAACCACTGGAGAACCAAGCACCTGAAGGATATTTTACATATCCTCTGGAACAAAACAAAAATCTCATCAATGGTATAGAGGTGTCTCTGAGGCTGAATCAAATGGCAGACCACTGATTAAAGCCAAATCCAGACAGAACAAGTTTCAGAAGTGGACAAAGAGAAGCAGCTGAATGAATAAGCTGACAAGATGTACAAATAGTAACTGTGCTTTTCTGGTACAACAGACCCCTCCATGATAAAGGAGGATGTAAGATGATGTAGCTCACAAGATGGTCTGAAACAGGCACAAAACCCAGCAACAGTCTAATCTCCCAAAAATCAGCACTGTCAGAAGTTAATGTAACTCTTCACTCATCTTGCCATCTCCCAGCTCAATGAACAGCAAGGCATACATTTATCTTTTAAACAAAATTCTAAGCTTTAATTCTACATTCTCCCTCTGACAGGGGCTACATTAACAAATATGTGCCATATTTTATTAAATTTAATCAGTATGTTACTGGAAGACAACAAGAACTATGTTAATGAGGAGAGTGTAAAAAGTCTTGCCAGTCAAAAGGCCACTGTGAGTCATATTGTTATTTTGAGGGAATTCACCAGGCTTGTAGTGGATTACCTTTGTTGGTAGGATTTTCAGGAAGAGCACCTCTCCATACATCCAGAACTGAATATCCTGCTCCATTGCAGCAGAGGGCAAGTTGCCAACTTTCATGGCTGCAGAGATAATCTCCTAAAACAGTAATTAAAATTACAAAATCTGTCTGAATCTTATAACTGCCTGAAACTCAGTAGTATGAGCTTTGGTATTCCAATCACTTTGGCCTCAAGATGTCCAACTACAACTCAATCACAGAATACTTTGGATAGATAGGTGTGACAAATTACAGTGATTATTATGAGTACTGCCAGAAAAGAAAGTCAGAAGAAGGCCAATGGAGAAGAAGGAAGGAAGGAAGGAAGGAAGGAAGGAAGGAAGGAAGGAAGGAAGGAAGGAAGGAAGGAAGGAAGGAAGGAAGGAAGGAAGGAAGGAANGGAAGGAAGGAAGGAAGGAAGGAAGGAAGGAAGGAAGGAAGGAAGGAAGGAAGGAAGGAAGGAAGGAAGGAAGGAAGGAAGGAAGGAAGGAAGGAGATCAAATAAGCAGAAAAGCAGAAATTGTAATGAATTTGATGACAGCACACTGTACAAACCACAATTACTTGGAGTGTATATAGAGGACAGGTTTTGCTTTTCTCCACCCTTGGCTGTGATCTGCTTGCCATTTTTGTCAGAGTGAGCAGTCCATGTGCCTTTTGGGCAAATATGGAGTCCAGAGTGCATCCTCTGACCTGTGAACTGCAGTTTCTTAGCATGCCACAATTACTGACCCTGCCAGGAATTCCTGTCATGAGTCCTGCAGCTCTCCCACATGTACTGCAATTCCTGTCTCTGCAAAGGCAACTTGATAAGAGTGCGAGACAGACATACCACTGGCATCCCAATCATGCTAACAAAGCTACTACTCATCTTTAATTCCTGTAGCCTTGAGCATATTCTCTAGCAGTGATCACTCTGAAACTTGGAGGCTGCCCTTTCTGAGGGAACCAGTTTCTGTCTCCTCTCCTTTCCTGAGGTAGGCAAGGGCTGTTCTCTCCACTGTCTCCTGTAAAGGCTTTCATTACTGCCTCCAGCTTCTTCACGAGGTACTTGCAGTATTTTACAGGATACAGGATCAAACTCCCTTCCTCTGATCTTCTGTCCAAAAGGATTTTATCACCATTTCCTTGTCTCCTCTCATACCCTAAAGAGGTAAAAATTTCCTTATTTTCCTAAATCAGAATTGCACCCACAGAGAGACAGTTTTTCTTCTGATCTCTTCCTGGTTTTTCTCCACATGTCATAAAATTACAGCATGGAACTCATTGAATAGAGTATCAGTTACACAGATTCACAAAGAGACTGTGTAAAGCTACATAATTTATATGGACATCAAACCCACTGACAGTTACCAAAGCAAACAGCAAAATAAACAAATGAAGCAAATTTCCAAACCAAAGCCCACACAAAGCCCTCATGACATAACAACTCTGGTGTTTCAGGGTTTATACTGATCTCTAACTAACCAAGCTTAGGATGAGACCCTGAGCAGAGGACAGATAATCTCATGTCTACTAATACAAAGTTTTTTCACTTCCTTCTGTCTTTTAAATTTCAAAGACGGGATACTGAACCAAATGGATTTTGTCTTTCATCCCACCAATGTTTCATTGCTCTGAAGAGATGCTTTGGATTTCTTGCTGATCTCAGTTTTTTTTCTGGTATGGTCCAGCTTCAGTGCTTCCCTTTGCCTTCCTCCCCCTGCCCTCTCCATCCCCTCTAATCTCCACAGGGGTTTCTATATTAGTCTGAGTGGCTGGATAGGCCTCAGCCTCCATCTGGGGCAGGGGGGATTAAATTTAATTTATCCTCTTAATTCAGCAACGATTTCTTAACCAAATCCCCTCCCTAGCTTCGCCTTCGCCCCAGCAGTTGGCTAGCATTTCAGACCCATGCTTTCGGGAAAAAAAAAAAAAAAAAAAAAAGGAAGAAACCCGCGTCAAAGGCCGATGCTCCCTGGGGAGGGCAGCACTAGAACTGGGGTCCCTCCGGGCGGAACGGGCCCGGGGTGGGGGAGGGCAGGGGTCCCCGCAGAGGAAGAGGTGACAGGCTGCCCCACGGTGCCTAGGGGTGCCGGACTGCCGAGGGACCCCGCCGGCACGGGGGTTTCCGGCAGGGGACGCCGCGACCCCTCCAGCGGGGCTGGGTCGGATGAGCCAGGGCGGCGGCGCCCCGCGGGGGAGGCGCCGAGCCGTGCCCCGCGCCGGGCGGCCGTAATCCCATCAAAGGGCCGGACCCAGCCGCCCACCCCCTTCCCTCCGTCCCTCCCCGTCCCTGCCCGGCGCGCGTCCCGGCCCCGCTGTCCGCTCCTCGCCGCCCCGGCCCCGCTCCGCACCCGGCGCCGCTCGGAGGGGACCGCGGCGGCGCCGGCGCCCCTCGCCCGCGGCCAGCGGCCCCAGCTCCCCGCTCTGCGGGGGCACTCGGCGCACATGGAGGCGCTGGGCGGCTGTCACCGCCGCTGCCTCGCCTTGGTGCTGCTCCTGGCTTCGTGCATCGGCTGCGCGGCCACGCCGCGCAGGAACATCCCCCGCCGGCAAGGTAGGACGGGCGGCAGCGCCAGGCGAGCGGCGCCCGCCCCGCGGCACGCTTGCACCGGCGAAGTTCGCGTCCCTTTGACACTGCGCTGCCCCGCGTCGGGCACCGGCGGCAGCGGGGCCGGGCGGCAGCCCCCGGGTGGGCAGCGGGGCAGTGCCCGAGGTCGGGTCGCCGCGCCCCCGATCGGGGAGCTCGTCCGGGAGCTCCGGGCTCCCGGCGGGGCGTGCGCCGCTCCTCGCCCTTCCCTGCGAGTCCCTGCCGCCCTCTTGCGGGGAAGAGAGGGTGCCCAGGGAACGGCAGGGACCCGCGAAGTTGCGGGGTCGGTGTATGACCCGTTTTCTCCGACATCTTATACCCAGTGCCGGTGGGCGCGCTCGGCTTACAAACCAGTACCAGGCTACAGCTACTGCAGAAAAAATCGGGAAAAAATTTAGCCGGTTTTCCCTGGATGCCGTAACTTGCGGTGGGGCGTGAGCAGAGTTAGAAGGTGAACCTCTAAGCCAGTCACGGGTGACCTGTCGGGAAGGCTGTTCCGTGGCTGTGACATTTGTATGTGTGGCAGCGAATAGCCTGGCACAAAGTAGTAAACGCGAAGGAAACATTACTAGAGAAGCGATGATTTTGTCTCAAAAATGTAGTTATCGTGTACCAAGCATAATGTGGTGTGCCTCCTGGTCCTGCTCGTGGCTGGCCACTGCCCGTGTCGGGTGGGAGAATTCCCACGGCTGTCGGCGGGACGTTTGCGCGCTGATCAAGGAAGTCCTGCACAGTCCTTAGAGGTTGAAAGTTAAAACCCCGAGTCTGTTAAAACCCTTTTACAGTCTGCAGCATATGAAACAGTAAGGTAAAATGTAAACAATGAGATGAGACATAGTGCATAGTGAAGTTTGACATTCTGTATACTTTGCAAATTGTGGTGCTAAGAGAAGATAACTATGGCCGGGACTGTCTCAAGCACCGAGACTGTCCTGGAATATTTGTGACCAACACTGACTCTTATCATTGAGTTCACTGAGATCAGTTCATCTGAAAATACAACGAGTTTAGTAAGTTCTGCCTCATCTCACAAAGTGTTTGTAGATTTAGATCCTTTTTGTATCTATCCCACAGTAGAAAGATTTGAAAGATTTTTGTTGCTGGTCTTTAGAATCACTACTGTGCCTTTTCATGCTCATATGACAAGAAAACAAATGCCTGTACAATTGGAAACTTAATACTTAAATACAGCCTGAGCTTAAAAGCCTTACTGGGCAGATGGCTAATTTTGCTGGTCTGACCTTGTCTCTTAGGGATCTAGTCCCATGATCCTTGGTTATCGTAATAGCGACCATTAAGTACTTGAGGAAATTAGGCAGACAGTCGTTGTGAATGACATGATTAGTAGCTTGCATTAAAAATATCGGATATGTGAAGTTGGGGAAGCAAATGCATAAATATTTTAATATATTCTTTGACTTTAACATACTGTTGTACTTGGTCCCCCTAGTCACAGGAGAATGGCAGAGCTGGAGAAACTGTATTTCTGTGCATTAAATTGAAACACCGTAAAGCATGAAATTTAACTGTAGTGTTTTGATGGAAATTAATTAATGTTTGTGGTTTTTTACCTTACTTTTGTTAGCACAATTTTAAAGTGTTAATTTTTATAACATGCTTCAGATTCACTGATTGATTCAATCATTCCTTCCTTGCTTCTTTTGCTGAAGAAGCAATGAATTTTATTGGACAAAATTTTTTTCAAAATCTATGCAAACATTTGAAAATCCACTTGTGCAAGATTTGGAGAGATTCCCCCACAGAGACTGTGTGCAGTATATATATAATTTAAATCCCATCTGCATTTTGTGGGGACTGTTGGAACTGAGGGCTCCCAAGCATCCCATGACTGGGTGCTTTTACTGTGAAATGTTGCTGCTCTCAAAACACTCAGAACAGGTTTTATGTAGCTGGAACATCTCTGCCTTGTTTTGCAGGATAACAGGCTGGGTGGTTAAGAGTAGAAAAGAACTATCATTTACTCATACATCCAAAATTAAACATTCAGTGAGTAAAGAAGAGAAGAGACAGTAAAAAGTTCTTCAGGACTTTTTTTTTTCTTTCATTTTGCTCTTTTAATAGTGATAGAAGTGAGACTTGTAAAGGAATTTTAACTGAGGTGAAAGCAAGAGGTTATATCAAGAGAGAAACCATAAAACCAGTTGATCTTCAATAACAGAAGCTGAATTGGAGGTCCTGTGGATCAAAGAAAAAAGATAGTAAAATGGAGCTCCATTTTTCCCAAATTTCAGTTCAGGACTTAGCTTAAAAAGATCAGTTCTATAATCCCAAGAAAGCAGCAAAGTGAGAAAGCTGTTTGTGAAGTTAAAAATATGTAGTAAAATGGCTACAAATGCAACTTCTTAAAGTAATCTTCAGGGAAATAGACTGTTGTACTCAAATACAAGACATTCTGATGACTGCTAAAATAATTTGAACATTTATTTACAGTTACATAATACGTTTTCTGGAGACAAGAAAACGGGATGACAGACTCTTTGGGAAGGGCTTAAAACAAATCCTTAGACACCATGTGGTGAATAGTATAGCTGGGAAGAGATTAGCCTGGGATTCTCAATATCTTGTACTCCCAGAAGTTGGCATTCATACTGCTGCTTTCGTATTGTTTTCTTGCTTTTGCCTTCTGCAGAAGCACAGGTTTTTGCCATCTCTGTTTCAAGTTTCAACTGGTTGAAGAATAGAGTCTGAAGCTAACTCCCAGTGTGTTACTCTGCTACCAAAATAAACACAGAATTAATTTTAATGGTTGTGTGATTTTAGAGAGTTTTAGGGGAAAGAGCTGACCAGTCTTGTGGATGTTCATGACATAAAGTTGTTGCACTGCATTGCATTGACTCTTCTTTAGTAAAAGAGTGTAAAATTCCAACATCCTGTAGAACAATAAAGTGGGTAAGTTGGTCTGCATGGAGAATAAAAATAATCATATCTGATGCTCAGGAATGCTTCTCCTTTTATAAATATATTATGTTTGCCAGCTAACATAAATAAAGAATTTGGCTTGTATCTCTTTCCCAGATGTCCATAGCAGTAGATATCACCAGCTTTCTGTGTAAATGTTGGAGTAATCAGACCAGTTAAAATCTGAAGACTTTACAAGAGAGGAGCACACAATACAAGGGCCAGAGTTTCAAAAGAGTACAGATCCTGGGTCAGCACTACAGTAAATGACTTTTTAAATCAGGATTTGGCACTGGGATACTTGAATTCTTTAGAAAAGCTGACTATAATAAGAGCTGCTATGTAAAGAACACTCTTGAAAGTCTAGCCATATTTATGTATCAAAATAGGTCAAACTGCCTTGCGATCAGGTCTGCAGATAGGAAAAATGCAACAGTGTTTTGGAAAGAAGGTTCTTATTTGAGTTTTTAAATATTACAGTTTTTTGGAACAACAATAGGATGACTTCTTATTCACTGTCATAATAAATCCCACACGTAAAGCATGCAAAGGTAAGGTTGATTTGCTGCTAGATGTGAAGTGTCTGAGAAGAGAAATGACATGGAAGCGGAATGATTCCTAATGTGAGGGATGTAGAACTGTCAGAGGCGGTGCATATCTGTGAGCTAGAACTAATAAAGAAGATGTGAATAATTTATTTGAGGGAAGATTAGTATCATCCTCTTACAGTTTCAAAAATGCCTGATTCATTCAGCATCAATAAAATCAAGCACTCATTATATAGGTATTTGTTGTTTTTGTCACCTTCAGGTGTAAATTGCATCACAACATTGTGTGATATTTCGATTGGACTTTTTCTTGTACCTCTGGGGTCCATGGTCTGGTAAATTCTGAAAACTGATCAATCACATCACCACTTCATGCAGATAGGATCATTCTGATAATTCTTTCCAGGGCAGCAATAGGAATGTGGTGAATTGGCCCACTTCAGCATGTTACTCTGTGTGTCACTGTTACTTATTCTGAAATACGTTTTCCGACTTTAGTTAGTCTCACTTGTAGCAAAATGTCTTGTGCCCTTTGCACCATGAAATTGCAATCTTCTATACAAGGAAACTTTCAGTAAATGTTTTTCATTGGCACCATTTTGCCAATGCCAATGTATGAAATGACTATTCAGACTTCCATCAGTGTTCATTAGCCAAGACATTCTGTACCAGATACTGGGATTCACAGTGATGCTTTGGAGAGGAGGGATTGTTTTGGAGTTGGGGCACTAGAATGATTCTTGGGAAATCTTTCTGCCTTGAGACTGTCACAGGCTGTCTTTGATGGCTTGCCAGTCCTTCACAGGCCAGATTTTTATTTTTTTATTTTTTAAATGGGAATGGAGTGGTTTTATGCTTTTATCCTTTTCCACCATGCCACTTTAGACAGTGAAATTACTCCTATAGGGTGCTCATCATAGCTGTACCCCAATTTTAGTCAATGCTTCCAGGCTTCAACTGAGTGATAATGTGTGGGTGATTTTCATGGTGTCTTCTGGTGCGTCTTGCAGAAAAAGCCCTCTTTTTCTCTCAGTAACACTGGGCTAGACAGGACAGCACTGAAGTGAACACATCCAACAGTCATAATCACCTTAAACTTAGTGGCAGGAATTCTGAATGTCAGTCCCCCAAAAGACATCCTGAGGAACAGAATAGTACCTTGTTTCCTTAAACTGGAAAATTTCAGTGCATGAGTTCTTTTCAGCACCCCTTAAAACTCATTGATTATCTGAGAGAATACTTGTAAGTTTGTAACTCCTCAGGTATTGGGACTCAAATTTTTGCATGTTTCTATTTATGATCTTTCAATATGTGTTTATGCTCTTTTTATGCTCTTTTTTATAATTGAAAATAAAATTAATTTTTAAAAGGTGGCTATCATTGCTTCATGTCCTCAAAACAGGACTGATAGGACCTTTTCACAACTTTTCCATCATAAGAAGCTTAAAGTCTAAAATGCTTATAGAAAGTTTGTAATATTAAAAAGTCATTCAAGGATAT